TCATTGTGGCACTGAAGGAGGCAGGTGTATAGATTTTACAGTGTACTGTGGAGCAAGAAATTGGGTCTGAGATTACAGTCAGAGAAAAAAGGATTGTGTGCTTCTTTTTTTGTGTTAGAATAAAAGCCTATGTACCTTGAAATTCTTGCATTAGGAAGAAGGATGAAAAATCTGTTACGTAAGTTCACACTGCAAGAGAAGATCAAAGGCTGTTTACTTAGGTCCCAGAAAAGTCATGAGTTGAGCTAGGGTGGAAAACTCCAATAATCTCACCTCTCCACAACAAATACCCCTAATGCCTAGTGCCACATTTTTCAAATGCTTTCAGACATCTAAGTTCCATGATAGGAACCCAGATGGTTTAATCCCAGCTCTCACAACCACTCATTCTCAGTCTGTGACCTTAAAGCCACATGGATGATTTCTCAGAGGTCTATGAAGGATAACCAGGGAGAACAAGTTCATGTGTGGTGCTGATGAGTTGGCCAGATGATCTTAGTGGTCTTTTCCAACCTTAATGATTCTGTGGTTCTGATTCTGTATACTGCTCTGCAGTGTATGAGATTTCTAAGGGGGTCCTCACAGCCCACAAAGAGATTTTAAAGACTCACAAACTTGAAGAGTTTGAAAATTCTACAACTGGGCAATGGTTCCTTCTAAAACACTTCATTTTGCATTACAAGCAGTGACTGGTGTAATACAGGCACTTGGCCTGGCCTAGGCACTGTGATCATACGAGATTTTACATGTGTGACAGCCAGAAGTTACACTCTGCACAACAGACATTAAACTAGCATGCCGGACAGGGAGTATGAGAACAGCTATCCATAATTGGCCCCATTACCAAGATACTATTATTGTTTTATGTGATCCCATACATTTCCATTTTCTCCCACTTCTGTTCTTCCTGCAATATAGACATCTATTTTCCTACCCATCCATCTCTGTTCCAATAATTAAAATAGTTCTGGGAGAAAGAACAGATGTTTGGGACTTGGTGTAAAAATGCTTTTCTGTTCTAAGAAATTAAAAGGAAATGGTTTGTCTTATAATAGGGAGCTGCAGACCACAGGTTTTTAAAGACAGGCTATAAAGGGCAATGAGGCAGTGCAGCAAGGGACTGCCAACAGAACTCCCCAGGTGAACCCTCCTGTGCAGAGGCAATGTCCACCATGGGAAGCTGCTCCGCAATGATCCTTGCCAAATGGCTTACTCTGCAAAAGCTGATCCAGCTAATTTCCCCATTCAGATGAACCACTGCTGTTTGCAGTACATTGGCATGCAGCTGAAGCCCAAGCTTTCTGCCAGTTAATGCTGTCACTCTGTCAGAGGCAACTGCTCTTAAATGAGATCTGAAAGCATGGCAGAAGCTTGGTGCATACAGCTTGCCTCAGGACTTTGTCTCACATAAAAGCTTTTCTCTTCCACCTTTCTTTCCTTCTGATCAGGAGAGAACAAGGAAACAAAATAGAAAGTTTTCAGAGAAAATCCAGAGCTGCTCCATTCCCTTTCACTAGTGTTCATATACAGGACTCCCACCAAGGTGTCTGACAACTCCTCGCAGCTGCAAAAAGCTCTAAGAAATCAAGGCAATGCTTCTGCTCAGCTCTTGCATAAAGTATGCCCGGTGCCCAGAATAATAGAGCTATCTTTCCTGGATGGAATGGGATATTGCATCTTCCTCCTGCAGTGGGCACTGAGGTCCTGTCTGGGAGCAGAACAGATCCAGGCCAGTCATGGATTTATTTCCATCTACATTCTCCATCTTTTTTTAGGATCATAGAATTATAGAATGGCTTAGGTTGGAAAGGATATTAAAGAGCATCCAGCTCCACTCCCCTGCTGTGGGCTTCCTATACCTTTGGTTCTTGCATCGTGTTTGGGCAGCTTCTCTGGAAAATTCTGTCTATATCCAGTTTGCAAGAATGAGAATTAAATCATGTTAATAGTGATAGTGATGAGAGTTGATAAGGATGATATTAATAACATGCAGAGTGCCTTAGGTAAGCTCTTACTGTCAGGCAGATGTGTGACAAATCTGGAAAGAAGCTTCAGTAGAAATTTTTAGACTGCAAGATCACCGTCGGGTTATTTTCTATAGTGAAACTTTGGATAAAAATATAATCATTTCCTGCTAGCAGTCTACAGACATTGCCTCAGGAATTAGTATCCAATAGGCAATGATAAATGGCAGAGTTATGAAATATCACAAGGACCTCTGCATCTCACTCTGTCCATTCACCTTCAATAAAAATGAGCTGTGCTACTGCTTCCTGCAGAGGCATTTTCCACACACAACCAAGAAGACTTGCCTATTTAAATTTTACATTTATTAAAATTTCAGTAGATGCCAGTAACTGAAAGAAATACATGGAAGTGAAATACAAAATGATATACAGATTTAACAGCATTGCTTAAAAGCATCGGTTGGGGCAAACACTGTAGTTGGTGCCTCGTTTGTGCATAATATGTTCAATTTGTGTTGGTTCATTGCCCCCTTTGCCATTTTTCTTAATTCACAGTGTCATGTTTTTATGAGTTATATCTGCAGGAACATCACCGAGCAAAGCACATCTTGTTGGTAAGACGCTGGCAAACCAAACGGTAGGCACGGCTCTTCCTTAGCCATTGCTTCTGAAACAAACTGCCTTTTATTTTTGAAAGCCTGCCACAGACGACTATTTGCAATCACTTTTCTTCTTTTCTTTAGCAACAGTCATGAAAAAAGATAAAAAAGATAAAAATAATCAAACTCAAAAGCCTTTCAGTGATTGGATGCTTCAATTGTAATGAAGTTGAAATTAATGGCTTACTATCATTCTTGAAAGTTATTTCTGTGCAGTAACTCTGGTAGGAATCTCAAATAAATTGTAGCTATTGATCACTAGCTTTGCTATCTCCCACACAGATAGTCTGGCTTTTTTTCCACACTGTCAGTAATCTCCCTTGCTCCCAGGCTTGTTTTTAGAGTGAACCACCTAATCCTTTTCAATGGACCAGTCAGGTTTGACACAAAAGGTCACCACCGAGCCTAATCCAAACAGACAGCACAGATGCAGCCTGCACCAGGTTTGACTTTTTTCCGCATCACATGGGCCCAAGCAGCTTCAAAAATATTCCTGCTCTCCTTCACGTACACAAAAAACAGCCCTGTGCTGTGTGTAAAGGCATTCTGCATGCTTCAACTGAGTTCTCTCACAACTGAGAGGCACTGAGGGACATGGTTAGTGTCCATGGGCACGGTGGTAATGAGTTGATGATTGGACTAGATGATCTTAGTGGTCTTCTCCAGCCTTAACGATTCTATGACAATTCCTGCACTTTAGATCAAGTGAGGAAAAAATAATATTTAGGCCTCAAGACTACCCCATGGTACCCCAAAGACATCTGGTCCAGGTGCTTAGGATGTGGATGTGGCCAACAAGCTCCCATGAGTGCTGGCCTTCAGCACGATGAGTAGGAGCCAACCCATCCAGATAACCAAGGAGGTTTTTGTGTCAACTCACAAAAGTACAGTAGGTAAGATGACAGGGCTGAGGCATTCAGTGAGTCTGAGCCAACTCCTGCTCCGAACAACTTATAGGGGCATTAGAATACCCCAGGATATCTTTATTCAGTTCTTTCTGATAAGGTTCTGATAAGGTTCAGCAAGGTCTGCTAAGGCCTTGAAGGTTCAGACAAGAAATAATGCATCAAAAACTCCAGCAGAGAAGTTTAAATTCAAAATTAGAAATATCTTTCCTTTGGTCAAGGTCTCAGACAATCAATGTTACCAACAAACACAAGAAAATATAGTAATTATCCTTTACCTTATGAACTGCCAGCTCCCCAAACTGCTGCCACTTTACACTGACCAGACAGTTCACTGGAGCTCCTAAACCATTAAATGTTTCAAAACACAGCAGAAAATTTGAGAATCTTTTTAATTCTCAGATCTGAGTAATGCAAGAGACATCAGAACAAGAAATCATGCATAATATTACATTTAGAACTGGATTTTGAAGGTAGCAAAGTAAAATGGAAAGAGAAAATGTGGATTCAGGCTGCTTCCAGAAAGCTCTGCTGGATGTACTTCATAATCCCTTGAAACCAATACTGGGGAAACAACTCATTCTTCAGTGTATTTTTCTAATTTGGTGAGTTGCTTTGCCTACATATTCTGGTCACACTATGTGATGACATATGAATCATTTGTTTATATGGATATTGCAGTATTTTAAGTGGCCAAAATAGTGTGTGGAGCTGCTGTGGGCTGGTCTGCAGAGCCATTGGAGCAAGGAGAGTCTGGGGCAGGAGCAGGGTGGCTGGGACAGGATGGGACCAGAAATGAGGGGAGAGGCATGGACATCACAGGTGGCAGAAAGCTCCTGAGCTGGTCCCCGATGACCTACAGATGTTGGGCTGGTGGTGATTCCAACTCATCTTTCCAGTTGGGTGACCTCACACACTCTGACCCATCTTGAAAAGTGACCAGGTGCTGTGGTGAGCAGCTGATAAAGTATTCCAGTGGCCTTAGTTACAAAAAGATCCATGCTGGAAGAAGGGAGCTGTACATCCCACAACCTCCACACAAGTTGTGTTGGATCCAACCTCTGAATGAGTCCATGGCAGAATTCCCATTGACCGCAAATGGGGATGGACTGAGTTTAAGAACCACACCACTTAAGGATGCTGGGGCTGCCTGAACTAATGCCTGTCTGTTTGGATGCTATTTATGGCTCTTAACAAATTGGTTGAGCCATGGGGCAAGGCAGAGCCCAGCAGACAAACCCCATGGAGACCACTGGTCTCACCACAGCCTCACACCCTGCAGCCTGCAGCAGCCAGCATTACGTATTCATCTGCTTTCTAGAGAGGTGAGGTGCTGCCAAAACATTACAGATCTCTCCAAGGTGAGCAGACTGGTTCTAGGCCTACGAGAGTAAGTATTCAGGTTGTGTGCATGAGGCAATGTGAACAATTACCAGAGACTGGATGTATGGGAACTGCTGAGTCACGGCCCGAACCTCTGATTGATCACCTGAGGCGAGCCGTGAGTCAGCCAGAGGAGCACAGCTGAAGGCAATTCTCCTGTGCTGCCGGAAGGGTGGAGCCTGGCTGCACCCCTCCTAGACCTATTTAAGAGCTGGCTACCAGAGGGGAAGGAGCTCTTCTGGAGATCACCTCTCTTGGTGTTTTGTGGTGAGCTCAGCCAAAGGGTAAGCTCTTCCACTTATTCTCTTTTGTCATTGTTGTCTACTTTGCTTAACTCTCTTGATTATATTGTGGTTATAACATCTTGATATCTATTGATTATACACAATTATATTGTGATTATAACATTTTGATATCTATTGATTATACACTGGAAGGCATCTTCTGTAGTGTGACAAACAGGGAAAGCACTTACACCTTCAATAATGGAGAGGGAGAATGAAAGATGTAAGAATGAAGAGAGCAAAGAGATTTGGAAGAGAAATACTGGACATTTTAGGTTTTTATCATGGAAGCAAAGAAAAAAAATGTAATTTCTGATCAACAAAATGCTGCCGTTAAAATTAGTGTTGTGCTTCCTTTTGGGAATATCTAGCACCTTGCACTGACTGTCAACAGGAACATGGGCTGTGAGTCATGCATTACCTGCAACAAAACACACTAACACACTCTTTCTGCATAGTTTTGCCCATGACAGCAAGTGGACAAAATGATGGGTGCCACACACTCTTAAGCGCAGCAGTTGCTGTTTGTGGGGACATCTTTGCTCTCCAGTGGTACTCTGAAGCAGGGAAGGACCAGCATGATGCCGCCACTCCTCTTGGGCACCCTTAGAGAGCACAGGAGGCTGCTGTTGAGCCAGGTGCCCTATCTTGTGTGCACCTGTGGTGGTGTCCAAAAGTCTTCCAGCTGCATGCAGCGCTTTAGGTATAAAGCAGCCAACTACCAGAATTAAACCAGCTGTGGTTTGAGCGTTCCAATGTGAGAACTCCAGCTTTTGTAAATGTAACTGCTTGAATGCCCGTGTTTCTCATACTGCTGATAGAGAAAAGGGTGCTTCAAGGCATTGATATAGAAAGATGCCCTTGCAGTCACGAAAATAGAGAAACAGAACAGTTAGGTGCACAGAAAGTGGCTTGACACTAAAGTAAATCTTTGGCTTCTTGCAGCCAAGGGCAAAACTTGAATTTATGCAGAAAGAATGAAATCACAGCCATTGCAGTAAGCTGAATATTTTAAATCTGTAGATCAACTGCAGATCCTTGACATGGAAGATGTGCAATTTTTATTGACTGCAAGAATTTCAATTTAAAAAGAAATAAAAAAAAAAAAAAGGGGGGGGATCTGAGTTAAGACTTGTTATTTAAGTGAGAAACTGAAATATTCTGACTTGTGGCAGCAGCTGCCTGAGGCTGCCTGGCAGCTGTGTCCTGGCCATGGGAGCAGAGCTTGCACCTCAGCTGCTGGGTGAGATCCTGGCCCTGGAGCAGTCAGCAGAAAAACTCCCATTCATTATCAGGGTGGAAGGTTCTCCCTGGCAGCCTCACTCCATTGTAAACTTGGTCAGGTTTTCTCCATACTAAGGACAGTGTTTTCACAGTAGATGGCTGTTTGCTGTATCACATGGTTGTGATCTTGCTCTTCCAAAAATCCTGCTTCCTGGGAGTGACAGCTTTGACTGCTTAATAGAAACCAGAATGCAATGGGAGAAAGGGCAGGAAGATGGTGTAGACATCAGGCACCAACAACACAGAGCTCCACAAAACAAAAGAAGACAACTCCAGCCCTCCAGGACCCAACCAGAGGACTGGGGGAACTGCCATGAAAGATACGGCTGCCATTCAGGAGATGGATTTCTCTGTGAGACTCTTCTGTAATTTCTCTGTACCTCAGCTGTACGCAGGGGACCTTCTAATTTCTCTCCCAGTGGCTGATTTTAACAACCTGAAATGTTTTGTTTTATTTTTACCCTGGATGTCATTACTTTTAAAAAGAGACAAGCTGTCCCAGAATGGTGCAATTAAATTGTTAAACTGGCTAATAGCTCAGCAGAAGCAGCCGGGCTGTGCTTTACCCTCCATTACCAGCCAGCTGGAGAAAAATGCTGATACCATTAAACGGCATTTTAAAAATGATGACAATGATTCCTAATATTTTTACTAGCCACATATTTTAATTTGAGCATTCTAATATCCAATATTCATAAATTCATTACAAAAATAATTCCTCTCATCTTATTTTCTCACAGCATTTCTAGTACATTAATCTCTCTCTCGTCAGTACCTCATTTATTTTTTAATTTCTTTCCCTCTCATGTTCAGACCCATATCACGCTTTGTCTTCATCCAATTTTACTGTCATATGTTTATAATGTTCTTATCAGAGAGGCACACATCAGAGATGAATAGCAGCGTGGAATTAAACCTGCAGAGCTGCGAAGAGAAGAAACCTTGGCTGTGCTTTGTAGTTAACCTGCCTGGGAACATTTACTCTTGTATAGAAGACATTTTTAGATCGTGTAGCTTAAAAAAGAGAAGTCCAAAGCACAGGTAACTGGGCTGGTTTGGCGAAGGGTGAGCCAGAGAGGTTGGGGCAGGATTTGAAGTCAAGCCTTTGCACTGCAGGAATTAATTGCTTGCTAAAAGGAATGGCTGGGGCGTAGGAGGGCTGCTTTTGGTGAGCAGCAACGGAGAGCAGAGAGCTTCCTGGTGCTTTCATGTTTCAGCCCTTTTCTAGCACAAACTAAGACTGTGTGTGAGGGGGTAGGTTGAAAAGCCAAGGCAGGTGTAGGTACAGCTGCTGTGGCAGCAGTAGGAGGTGAGGCCTGCTTACAGCCCGCTGCTTCCAACTCAATCTCTGCTGAGGACAGCCTTAGCACAGGGCTTCCAGGGGCTCCTGCTTGCCTCCATATTGAGAGAGTGTGTGTCAGAATACTATTTAAAAAGAAAATAGTTGCAGGTATTGGAGGTGTTTCTGTGCAGTTCAGCTGGTGGTTGAAGTCCTGACTATGCTGAAGCCAGTGCCCACTGGGAATCTTTGCTGTTTGCTCCTGCTCCCACTGAGGCTGGTTGGATATAATAATGCTTTTTGGGGGTAACAATGAGCTGCATTTTGAAAGGAGGAAGGGCAGTGCTCTCTCCAGGCCCTGTGCTAATGGAGAGGACCAGCCAGCCATACACAGATGGTTTGACCACTTCAGAACCAAGCTGCAAAGACATTTTGGGCACACACAGGGAAGGGAAAGGGGCTGCAAAACTGGTTCATAATGTATACATATGCTGAGATGTGAAACACAGGCACAGACTGCCCAATAGAAGATGTGAATGCCCCATACCTAGAGGCTCTCAAGGCCGGGTTGGTTGGGGCAGTGGGGTGGGAGCCTTGCCTACAGCAGGGGATTGAAGCTCCGTGATCTTCACGGTCCCTTCCAACCTAAGCTATTCTGTGACATACATGGAAATGAAGCATTTGTTGAAAAGTTGAAGGACAACTGCAAGAGTCAAATGCTGCACTGTCTTTCCTTCGCTGTCCCCAGCTGATGCTTCCTATTAGAAGAGCTCCCTGTGGAATGTGCCTGGGACCTTTAAAGCAGGGGGATGAAGAGGATATGAATGGCCATGATGACAGACTTGCAGTGCACATTAGCCTATGCGATGTGAGCTTGTGCCTTTCTGTACACAAAGATGTGGAGTACACCTGTATGCCCTATTATTTAGATAGCATTCATGATTGTTAGAATTTACACAAATTCCACTATCAGAGACATTTCATGACTACTGGCTAAACTGCTGGTTTTTCTCTTTCTTGATAGAAATAGATTTGAAAAAAAAAACAACTTTAAAATGTACAATAGGTTTATTCTCATTTATGGGTTCCAAAGACTACAAAGAAATTTCTTCATTTTCTGAGCCTGAATTAAGAAAGAACAAGGATTATTTGTCTAATGAGCTTTACATACTCTTAGCTTAGCAGCTACTGTGAGAGTTGTAGCTTAAAAAAGAAATAAACACAGCTGCATTTATATTTAGTATATATAGAATAATATTTAGTAATCAAGAGGCTTTCATACATATAAATGCTGTGAAAAAAATTGAACCATATGTTTAACAATTTCCCAGTTCTAAAATTCTGATGCAAGGAAAAAAAAAAGCATATGCTTCAATTTTTAAACAGTGGTTTTAAATTAATTACAACCTTCTGTAAACCCACTGAAGACAAGGATACTTCTGTAGTGGTCATGAGTTGGTCTACGGAATTGTAAGAAAATTACAAGGATTTGGTTAAATGTGTAATTTTAAATGGAAACTATTGCATTAGTCTGTTTCTAGTATGAGAAATGAATTTCTTAGACATATGTTTTTTATTCTTTGTCATAAATGTTGAGTTGTTTGGTCCATTCTATGAACTGAATGATTGACAAATGGCGTGCAAGATATATTTATTCTCAGATTCGCCCTCTATTTTACAACAAAAGCCTACTCTATATTTTTTTCTCTTCATTATTAGAATAAGGAGCCAGCTAAGAAGCTAAATCTGCTTGCAAGCCTCAGCACTTGAATAATCATGTGGCAATCATTATCGTATGAAGATGAACAATTATTAGCCATAATTGTCTAATGAGAAGAGATACTCTACGTGTGATGGATGCCCACACACATCTTGTGTGGGCACACTGCATACAGCAATTTGCCCTTCAGTGTCTGGTGTATTAGGAGAGATCACCAGTCCTCACTTCTTATCTGGTGTTTCATAGCGTTCTTCTACAAGCAAAAAGCAAATAATCTCTGCTTTCCTTAAGGTACAAATGACTGTGTAAAGGAAACTGGTAATAAAACTCCACCTTACAGTGAAAGCCTATTGATGCTTCCCCTAACTCTCCTTTGCCAAGACCTAAAATAACAACGTATTGAAAGTTAAATTATGGATATATATATATATATTTTTTTTTTCCACAAAGAATTTGTCCAGGTTTAACTCTGCTCATGTGTGGCTTCTGAGTATCCTGGAAGTTATTCTGGGTGCCACTGCAGCTGGGGATTTAGTAACAGACAGATGTATCTCCACGGCTGTAGATGTGCCTGTGTTTCCCCACTCAGCAGCACGGTGCCTCTATTGGTCAGTTACATCAGCACTGCTCCTTTGTTCAGGATGCCATCTGGAAAAGTCTTCTCACAATACCCACTTTCCTGGTTGAACCAATCGTCAGTGATTTCAGAGTAGCCAGGCAGGAACTCCAATCAAACTGAAAGATGCTGAGTCAGCCAAAACGCTGTGCAGTGACAGATGTGGAACTGAAAATAACATCTTGTTGACAACTTCTGAAAAATCAGGCAGGATTGCAGGCTTCATTCTTCAGGGTGTGGGCCCAGGCAGCCAGCAGACATTGGCTGGTGGGAAGAGATGCAATGAAGAGGTGGGAGCTGCCCAGGGATGGAACAAGAAGAGACCGAACCTTCAGCCTGGAGCACTATGGGGCTGTGCCAGCTGTGCTGGGACACGACATGCTCTCATTTAATTTTCTGAGCCAAAGGTTTGTGTCCCCGTCCCCTGTGGGGTGAGGAAACCATGGCTGTCCAATTTAAAAGCCACAGGAACTTTAGTACAAACACAATAGGCTCTACCCTCTTCATAGTCATACTGTACTGAAGTATGCTTCCTTCACATGCAATGTAAAAGCATGTCCACTCTGCTCCTTGCAGATTCCAGAGCCTTAGTGATTAAATTATTGCAGTTCAATTGCTTACTCAAGGAACTGATCTTCTCTTTCTTCCTCTGAAGCTATCCCCTTTAGCTAAACATTCCCCAAATGCTCTCTGCCCCTCCCCCCCCCCCCCTTACTGTTTTACCTTAAGGACAATTCTCAATCCTGTGTCTTTCCTGCAAATGAAGGTGATAAATTGCAGGGAGTTGGCTGGGAATACCCCTTCAATGCTGAGCTGGCACTGCCTTGCCCGGGGCTCCTGTCCATCTGTGGCATGAACTCCCTGGGTCCACCGCTGTGGAAGGGACATTGCCTCTCCAGCAGCCTATGGCTCCTTCCCTAACAGATGTGCTGGTCTAAGTATTTTGATTAAAATTTACAGAGTGAAAGAATTGCTTTTGCTTCACATTTTCCTTATTTTTATTGAAAACGTGTCTTTTTCCACTCCTTCTTTTGTGTTTTGTTTGGATTTGTTTAACCTCGTAACTCAAGGAGGTATGGAGATACAAGTACTAACATCAGCTCTTTTTAACTGCAATGATTTTGATCTTATTTAATGTTAATTTTTTACTACTCTGCTTTAAAACAAGGTCAAGCCTTCTGCTCTACTGAAACCATTTAACCGTGCCACATTTGTTTCTTTTTTTCCCATTGTAACTCCTAACAAATACAGAAAAAAGTGCTGGAGCTCGAATTCCTTCTCTCAAATTTTCAGCATCTGCTTGGAAAAGAGATGAAGGAATTGTTTTGTAGAATTCAGCATCTTTGGACTATCTTATCCCTCTAATTGCTGAAGCTGGCTGCTAAAGCCAGGCTTACTGCCTTATGGGCCATTTCCATGCATGAGAAAAAGATACTTTTAAAAAAAGATGCTGTGGCCAGCTCCACTGAGCCACTGTGTCAAACCTGTATAAAGTCATCCTACCAATAAATTGAATGAGCATGAACTAAATAGCACTCTACTAATGTAAAAGGCTTACATTTCCAGACAGAGCAAGAGATTTTGTTATACTGTAGTACAGGCAAGCGTCTGCTTTTGTATTTCATTTTCCTTCTCTGGACTCTTGATTTTATTATCATTTCACTGTAATGAAAAGCACTAATCATCTGGACAGCCATGGCAAGGAGCTGTATCTCTCAGCCCTGATGTCACCGTATATTTCAAGGCTTTGTCATTGTACTGCTATGAAAAACACCCATAGGCTCAAGGGGCATCATGCAAATAAACAGGAGTTGGCTGTGTGATCCCTCACATGTCAGCCCTGCCTATGCTGGTGCCTTCATTCCTGGCTCCATAGCCAGGAGTTCCCTAAAGAGCCTTTTGGTTCCCCTATGGGGCCAGGGCAGAACATTTCCCTGATGGAAAGTGAGAGCTCACAGCACAGCAGAACTGCTCTCCCCATAATTGCACGCACAGTGAGCACGTGTTGGTCA